GCCTGAGCAAGAGCGAGACCCCGTCTCTACTAAAAATACAAAGAAATTAATTGGACAACTAAAAATATATAGAAAAAATTAGCCGGGCATGGTGGTGCATGCCTGTAGTCCCATCTACTCGGGAGGCTGAGGCAGGAGGATCGCTTGAGCCCAGGAGTCTGAGGTTGCTGTGAGCTAGGCTGACGCCACGGGCAACAGAGTGAGACTCTGTCTCAAAAAAAAAAAGTTATTCCTCATTACTGAATAGCTGAACTTATATTAAGTGTCGAAAATTTCAAATATTTTTCATGTAACTTTTTCTAAAATGCATTGTTGTGTCTAATTAAAATTGTTACATGGGGTATAGTTTATGCTTCATTTGGGTATTATTATGAATACCAAATACATCACGATGTACTACAGTGATGCTCTCCTTGTGATGTATAGAGGTGTTTACCCTACAAAAAAATAGTCCCATACTGTGTAACTGTTTTTGTTTTTTACATAGAGCTTGTTGACTGTGGCAGGTCTCTGAAGTGGAATGTTGGAAGAAGGAAATATTAGAATACCTACTTAATAATGATTTTTATCTCATACTTTTTAATTTCTATTTGTTGTTACATTTTAATAGTGATTCATGTATGTATTTTTAAGAATTGCAATGAAGAAGTCAGCTGGTTTCTGGCTGGAAAATGCTCCCTCAATTTCTCCTTGTATTCAGACTTTTTTTGGGTAAATATTAAACATCTGATTTTTTAAAAAGTTATCTTTGTGTGATTGGGTTGATTGATTAGGAGTGATTTGTGTTTTTTTCCCCTCTAAGTATCTCTGTGTTTTCTACATTTTTTGCATAGAGCAACAGTAGTTTTGTGATTAGGATAAAGCTGTTAGAAGAATAGCTAATAATAATGGTAATGCCTGTTATTTATTACCTATTAATATTGAGGCATTGACCGTGCTATGATTATCATTTCATAATCACCGCTATAAGTCTTCAAAATAGGTAGTGTTTTTATATAACAAATTAAGAAACAGAGAATGATTAAGTAGCTTGCTCAAGGCAACACAGCTAGGAAGCTACAGGGAGGGATTTGAATATTGCTTTGTCTGACTCCTCAATCCCTCAAACTGCACTTATTTACCTTAGAGAGTTTAGGAACTACTTTAGAAAGTTTTAACTTTAGAAACTTTAGAGACTGAACAATGTTAGCTACTATTTACTCAGACTCTTATGAGCCAGGTATTATGTTAGATGTTTTACATATAGTACCTCCTTTAATCCTCATAATAACTCCACAAGGTAGGTATTATTTTTACTAATTTATAGATAAGACTGTTAAGTTCTGTGAGATCAGGGAACACTTGATAGTAGCTAACAGTTACCCAGCTATGTAACCACTGAAGCCCCTGTGCACATATTAAGCAGTCCATAAATGTATTTGAACAAATGAGTGAAACAAGGATAAAACTATCTACTATCTGTCTAGAGGCAGACCCAGAGCCATGGACCCATGAATGGACACAAGTAGCTAAACTTGACTGGAATAGAGAGGGACAAGGGATATTGTTCAACCTGTTCTTAGACATACTTGTAACATGTGTGTCTCAATACTAGAGAGAGGTGGAATAGAAATAGGTAAGGGATGAGATAACTCGTTTACCAATAAGCTGTATCCCATAACCTTCTTTAAAAGGGAGAGACAATGACAAGGTGAGATAGTTAATTTTATGTGTCAACTTCGCTGGGCCATGGTGCCCAGATATTTGGTCTAGTATTATTCTGGATGTTCCTGTGAAAGTGTTTTATTGGATGAGATTAACATTTATTTTCTATTTTTATTTATTTTTTTTTAGAGATAGGGTCTCACTTTGTTGCCCAGGTTGGAGTGCAGTGGCGTATCATAGCTCACTGCAGCCTGGAACTCCCAGGCTCAAGTGATCCTCCTGCCTCAGCCTCCCATGTAGCCAGGTTTACAGGTGTATGCCACACTGCTCCTGGCAAGATTAACATATAAATCAGTGGATTTTGAGTAAAGCCAGTTGCTCTCTATAATCTGAGTGGCAATCCACATTCAATCAGTTGAAGCCCTGAATAGAAAAAAGAGTGACACCCCTCACCCCTACCTAAGCAAGAAGAAATTCTGCCAGCAGATGGCCTTCCCACTTGAACTGTGACATAGGCTGTTCCCTGAGTCTCTAGCCTAATGGCTTATCCTGCAGATTTTGGACTTGCCATCCTTCATAATCAATGTGAGCCGATTCCTTAAAATAAATAATCTCTCTCTTTCTCTCTCTCTCTCTGTGTGTGTGTGTGTGTGTGTGTGTGTGTGTGTGTATGTACATAAAAAATAGATTTAAATGTTAATCTTGCCAGGTGCAGTGTGGCTCACACCTATAATCCTGGCTACGTGGGAGGAGGCTAAGGCAGGAGGATCACTTGAGCCCAGGAGTTCCAGGCTGAAGTAAGCTCTCTATATATAGATAAAGAGAGAGAGAGAATGTGTATATATATATATATATATATATATATGCACACATACATCTATATATATACACATACTCTCTCTATATACATACATCTATATAGACACATATATTCTATTGGTTCTGTTTCTCTGGGGAACCCAGAGTTTCTGGTGATGATTCAATTTTTCAAATAAGACAGGACATATAAAATATTTCCTGGTCAATAATTTGAAGAAGGTCAACCAAGTCAGAGTATATATATAGCTAACTCTCCCATGGCAAAAGGCCCAGGGGTTGGGGATGAGCCACTCTGGTGTAAGAATCCGTAAACTCTTCTTTTTGAGGCAACCAGCTCTGTGCACCTGGATACCCTTCATGCTAGGCATTGGAAACTGGGTCTAATGCTGTGTGGGTTTTTTTTTTTTTTAGTTTATTATATTGTACTTTTTAAAAAAATAAATTTATTGATGAATGATTGATGTCAATAAACTGCATATATTTAAAGTGTACAATTTGATGAGTTTTGACACACATATATACCTGTGAAAATATCACAATCAAGATAATAAATATTCTTCACTCTCCCAAATTTTCTTGTGCCTCTTTATAATCTATACCTCCCTCCATCTTTATCCCCAGGTGTGATGGTTAATTTTATGTGTCAACGTGACTGGGCTAAGGGATGCCCAGATAGCCAGTAAAACATTATCTCTGGCTGTATCTGTGAGGGTGCTTCCAGAAGAGATTAACATTTGAATTGGTGGACTGGGTACAGAAAATCACTCTCACCAATGTGAGTGAGCACCATCCAATCCATTGAGAGTCTGAATAGAACAAAACGGCAGAAGGGCAAGTTTGCTTCTGTTTGAGCTGGGACATCCATCTTCTCCTGCTTTGGGACATCACTGCTCCTGGTTCTTGGGTCTTTGAACTTGGACCAGGACTTACACCATCAGCTCCCTCCGTTCTCAGATCTTTGGATTCAGACTGAATTACAACACTGACTCTCCTGGTTCTCCAGCTTGCAAATAAAAGATTGAGGGACTTCTTGGCCTCCATAATTGTGTGAGCCAATTCATATAATCTATCTATATATACATATATCCCCTTGTTTCTGTTTCTCTGGAGAATCCTAACACACCAGGCAAACACTGATCTATTTTCTGTCTCTATAGTTTGCATTTTCTAGCATTTTATATCATTGGAATTGCTGATGCTGTTTTAAATGTTAGAACCTCCTTCTCTAGTTTGGCTGTTTCTGGTCACACCGTCATCACACGTGAGTTGTGCTGCTTTAAGGCAGAGCCTCTGGGCTTGGCAAGCCTCCTGTGATCCATAACACCCCCCAAAACTCTGCTCTAGATGCCACTTCCCTACCCCATTTTAAGTAAACCACTTGCCATGGTCTGAATATTTGTGTCTCCCCAAAATTCATATGTTGAGATCTTAGGTGAGGCATTTGGGAGGTGATTAGGTTATGAGGGAGAGGAGCCCTCATGGATTGGATTTGTGCCCTTATAAAAGAGGCCCCACAGAAGGTTGCTTGAGTTCAGGAATTTGACATTACAGTGAGCTATGATTGTGCCACTGCACTTCAGCCTGGGCAACAAGTGAGACCCCATTTCTAAAAAAATAAATTAAAAAAAAAAGAGGTCATAGAGAGCTGCCTTGCCCCTTCTACCATATGAGGAAACAGCTAGAAGTTTCTATGAACTGAGGAGCAGGCCCTCCAGATGCGTCAGGCACCTTGATCCAGACTTCCCAGCCTCAGAACAGTGAGAAATAAGTATCTGTTGTTTATAGGCTACCAAAAGTTTTTGGTATTTTGTTATACAGCAGTCCAAACAGACTAAGACACTATTTATTGTTCCTTTCCCTGTTTCCTAAAGCCACGAAAGACCCAGAAAGGCTGATCTGATTTTTTTTTCCTGCAGCTGACTGTGACTATTCTAGTTTCTCCTCCTCTATTGGATAACGAATGGTATAGCCCTGTCCCCTGAGGGGCAATTCTTTAGTTAGTGCTCCAGCCAAACATACTGTGCTCTCTGGCAGCCAGTGAGGGCAAGTGGAGATTCAGATCCTGCCGCATCTAGATTTCCCAGTGCTAGACTGGCAGATTCTGCTTCTCCCCACTTGTGTGAATGTGTGTGTGTGTGTGTGTGTGTATGTGTGTGTGTGTGTGTGTGTGTGTGTTTGTGTGTAAGAGCATGTATATTGGGGGGATGGATAAGTTTCTTGCTATATAAAGTTGCAAGTATAGGTTTTAGCATATTTATTTTGGAAAATCAAGTAATCAAGCAGTTTAAAAATTTTATTTTTGGCCAGGTATGGTGGTTCACACAAGACCAGCCTGAGCAAGAGTGAGACCCTATCTCTACTAAAAATAGAAAAATTAGTGGGGCATCATGGCATGTACCTGTAGTCTCAGGTACCTGGGAGGCTGAGGCAGGAGGATCCCTTGAGCCCAGGAGTTTGAGGTTGCAGTGAACTATGATGACATCGCTACACTCTACCTGGGGCAACAGAGTGAGACTCTATCTCAAAAAAAAAAAAAAATTTTTACTGTACAAAATAGAATCAAATACTAAATGGTATTTGCCCCAAAATGTCATTATTTCTAATTTACCAGTCTTTTTATAAGTGGTCCCATTTAAAAAAAAAAGTTACCCCAGTCTAAACAATATCAAACTAATCCATATCTGAAATATGTGTTATTTCATCTTTAATATCATTAATCTCAGCTTGGACTATTGTTAAATTAGATATTTTCTCATTTAGGAAAGTAATTTCTTTCTCTCTTTGTAGTAAATCGGTAACCAATCTCCCAATGCGTAGTGTTAAGTCATTTACCAATGGTTCTAAACGGGAAAAGTCCTTCTTCAGGTTATACACCTTTGGTTTTAGATCATTTGCAAAAGCCACTGTCTTCAGAACTTTTGCTCTGTCACCTTCTAAGCTTAAAAATCTATCTGTGTGCTTGTCAAAATCACTCTTGAGCTCAGTTAGTGTCTTCTTAACAGAGTTAATTCTTTGTGAATTTTCAGATGCTGTTTTTCGGAGCGTTGCTGTTCGGTCAATGCTGCTTGAAAGAAGATCACCTATGTTTTTTACTGTATTTTTTTCTACTTTTTCTATTTTATTTTCTAGTTCTTGTACAGATTCTGTCAATGATGTTACATCAGTTACTAAACCTGAAATACGTCGTATATCTGTTTTTATAGTTATAATCTTGAGACCAACATCTTTTGCCAAGGAAGTTGTACTTTGGTCTACTTTTATAATGTCTTGAGAAAGAGTTGTCAAATTGTTGTTCAATATATCCTGTTTTTCAGTTATCCTGTTGGACCAAGTTTTTACCTCATAAATTTCTTCCTGTAGATGCTTTAGATGAGCAATTATTTGAAAAGACTTCAATTGTTCCATGACAGCTTCAGATTTCTGACACTACAAGAAAATATAACATCACAATGATTAAATTTATTGAAAGTTTAACATTTAAAATTCAACTTAAATTTTATGGTTTTTTTAACTAAAACTTTACTGCACTTTTGGAAAGTATATGGTAAAAGATGGCTTTAAAAGTAAAAGCCTTTAGAACAATTTGAATGTATTACTAATGAATAAGAAGGAAAACATTGAGGAAATTTCATAAAACGTTACTGGAAATGACATTTTTTCAGTTATTATTTTTGTACAAGTGGTTCTCTGTACAGGAACAAAATGAGCTAAATGAGACGGTGATGTGTTTTCTTCAGTTCCTAGAGAAGGGTCGAGGAAGTTTCCTCTAGATGAACTTTGGTAAATTTGGGGGGTGAGACAAGGTAGCATAACTTCTTTTTATTTCCAGTTTTCTCTTTTTTTGAATTTCAGAATATTAAGGGGGTACAAACATTTTGGTTACGTGAATTGCTTTTGTAGTTTTTGTACAAAGTTATAAGTGCATTCACCCAGATAGTGTGCACTGTACCCGCATAACTTCTTTTTTTCAGCTTTACTGAGGCACAGTTGATAAATAAAAATTGTATACATTTATGTACATATGGTGTGGAATATGATGTTTTGATGTCTATACATTGTAAAATGATTAAATCAGGCTAATTACTATATCCATCACCTCACACTTTTTTTTTTTGCAGTGACAAAATTTCAGAACTACTCTCTTAGCAATTTCCAAGTATACCTTATTATTAACTATAGTCACCATGCTATACAATAGATCTCCAGAATTTATTCATTCTAACTGAAACATTGTACTCTTTGACCAGCATCTCTTCATCCTGCATCCTGCCCCCTCCAGCCCCTGGAAACCACCATTCTACTCTCTGCTTCTATTAGTTTGACTTTTTAATTTCAGATTCCACATATAAGTGAGATCATGAAGTGTTTGTCTTACTGTGCCTGGCTTATTTCACTCAGCATAATATCCTCTAGGTTCATCCATGTAGTCACAAATAACAGGATTTCTTTCTTTTTAAGGTAGAATAGAATTCCATTATGTGTGCGTGTGTATGTGTATGTGTGTGTAAACATTTCATTTTCTTTATCCATTAATCTCTTGATGGACACTCAGGCTGATTCTATATATCTTGGCTACCAGAAACAATGCTGCAATGAATATGGGAGTGCAGATAACTCTTTGACATATTGATTTCATCTCTTTTCTATATATACCCAGAATGGGATTGCCAGATCATATGGTAGTTCTATTTTTAAGTTTTTGAGGAACCTTCATACTGTCTTCCATAATGGCTGTACAAATTTACATTCCCATCAACAGTGTACCAGGGTTCCCTTTTCTCCACACCCTCACCAACATTTGTTATCTTTTGGTTTTTTGATAATAGACATTCTAAATGGTGTGAGGTGATATATGATTATGGTTTAAATATTTCATTTCTCTAATGATTAGTGATGTTGAGCATTTTTTCATATACCTGCTGGCCATTTATTTATGTCTTCTTTTGAGAAATATCTATTCAGGGCCATTGCCTATTGTTTAATCAGATTGTTTTCTTGCTATTCAGTTGAGTTCCTCATATATTTTGAATATTAAGGCCTTATCAGATGTATGGTTTGCAAATATTTTCTTCCATTCCTTAGGTTCTGTCTTCACTCTATTGATTGTTTCCTTTGCTGTGCGGAAGGTTTTTAGTTTGATGCAGTCTATTTGTCTATTTTTGTTTCTGTTTCTTGTGCTTTTGGGATTATATCCAAAAAATCTTTCCCAAGACTGTCATGAAGCTTTTTCCTCATGTTGTCTCCCAGTAGTTTTTACAGTTCATGATCTTACATTTAAGTCGTTAATTCATTTTTAGCTGACTTTTGGAAGTGGTGTGAGGTAAGAGTTCAATTTCATTCTTTTGCATGTGGATATCCAGTTTTCCCAACACCATTTATTAAAGAGACTGTCCTTTCCCCATTGTGTTCTTGGCACTTCTGCTGAAAATTATTTGAACCTATGCACGTGGATTTATTTCTGGGCTTTCTTTCTGTTCCCCTGGTCTGCATGTCTTTTTTTAATGCCAGTATCATGCTGTTTTAATTACTATAGCTTTGTAGTATATTTTGAGATCAGGTGGTTTGATGCCTCTAGCTTTGCTCTTTTTGCTTAAGATTGCTTTTGGCTATTTGGGGTCTAAGGCAACTACAAACAAACTTGTTTGTAGTTATAACAAGTGCTAGAATGAAGGGACCAATGTCTATGTTTTATTGGAGTATTACTTTTATGAATAATTTTCTGTGGTATCTAACTATCCATGAAAACTTGAATAATTCAACTAACTCTCAAATTTCTAGTATGTTGTTAGACATGCCAAGTGTGAGGGGCATAAAGATGAGTATAACTTGAGTGGTGGTCTCAACTCTGTTTAGTAGAGAAGATAGGTATGTAAAAAAAAGTTATTTCCAAGGTTCTAAAATTCTATGATTCCAAATACAGGTGGTTTGCAACTTTTGTATGTTTCAAAGCTATCCTTCTTCCCCACTATGCATTGTATACTGATATCTCTAAATTTATGTCTTAGATTAACTTGGACACATTAGCTGATGAACATTTTGAGCCACCCAACTTTCTTGCAACATTTCAAGTTGTCATTTTTGTTGTTGTTTGTGGTGATGGTTGTGGGTGTGGGTGTGCATACCTATATAGTAGTGTTGGGGAAGTTGAATATTTTATTATATCTTAAAAGTTTAAAATTTTATTGCATTGTGCCATTAGTTAATAAAATGAAGAGGGAGAGGAAAAATTAAACTGATCATAGTAATAAGATGGGTAGGTCTCATAAACAATACAAAGTTGAAAATTAAAACAAAGATGGGAGTTGCCAGGTAAAACTATTTAGCTTCAAGAGAAGATTAACTTAAGCCTGTGGACTGTGTGCCCAACTATGAAGAAAAATAAATTAAGAAACGAACGTAAAATAGCTGGAAATACATTGTCAATGCCTGTGACCAAACACAGAGATACAGTGATTACTCTGGTAAAAAATCCCATTATATAATGTGCAAGTCAATCATTTGACTTTCACACATTTAACTTTCAGCTTTTTTTTTTTTTTTTTGAGACAGAGTCTCACTCTGTTGCCTGGGCTAGAGTGCCGTGGCGTCAGCCTAGCTCACAGTAACCTCAAACTCCTGGGCTCAAGCGATCCTACTGCCTCAGCCTCCCAAGTAGCTGGGACTACAGGCATGTGCCACCATGCCCGGCTAATTTTTCCTATATATTTTTTTAGTTGTCCAGATCATTTCTTTCTATTTTTTACTAGAGACGGGGGTCTCACTCTTGCTCAGGCTGGTCTCGAACTCCTGACCTTGAGCGAGCCACCTGCTTTGGCCTCCCAGAGTGCTAGGATTACAGGCGTGAGCCACCGCGTCCAGCCAACTTTCAGCTTTTTTTCTAGGGAAGCACTATGTTTCAAAGTAGGAAATTGTCTACAGTGTTCTACTAACCATCAAAACCAGTTTGATTCAACAATATTTACTGTACTATATATAGTATGTACTGGTACGATCAAGAACAGTCTCTACTTTCAGGGAGTTTATAGTTTAGTTTGGGAAACAGAATATCAATAAATGGATTATTTAAAACTCAGAAAAGAAGGAATAAGAAAGTAAATATGGCTGGGTACATTGGTGCAAGCCTGTAGTCCCAGCTACTCAGAAGGCTGAGACAGGAGCACTGGTTATGCCCAGGAGTTCCAGGCTGTAGTATACTATGATCATGTTGTGAATAGCCAGTGCACTCCAGCCTGGGCAGAACAGCAAGACCCTGTCTCTAGAAAAGATAAAAACAAAAATAAAAGCAAATATGCATATTGCAAAACATTTTTACAAAATAAAATACGCAGTTTAAAGACGTCAAGTTTTTCTAAAATAATTGTGTATTTCTTCAGTTTTTTAACAAATTTTCTTAAATTGTATCAGGTTTACTCAGCTCATATTAACCTTTTAAGATTATTTTGGTTAGCATAAATTTAGTATTATTCAATGCAAATAAAAATGTATTATCTTCACAATATTATTTCGATGGCAGCATTAAAAAGGAACAGCTATATAGTTGCAAAAGAATACAATGAACTGCTGAAATGGGGCAGTAGAACAGTTAATTCAAAGTACCAACTGACCCTCGTCACCCCATCATGTATGCTTGATTTCAAAATATGTTTAATTAAATTAATTATTTATTTATTTTGAGACAGAGTCTCACTTGGTTGCTCGGGCTAGAGTGCCGTGGCATCATCCTAGCTCACAGCAACCTCAAACTCCTGGGCTCAAGCGATCCTCCTGCCTCAGCCTCCTGAGTAGCTGGGTCTACAGAAGTGTGCCACCACCCCTGGCTAATTTTTACTATTTTTAGTAGAGACAGGGTCTCACTCTTACTCAGGCTGGCCAAAATATATTTTAGTATTTTTCTCCTCAATAGCTTTATGCTTCATTAATTATTGTTGGAGGAGGTGGCCCCAAATATATTTTTGGTAGAGAGTTAGCTTGTGAAAATGTAACTGTGGGTATGACAGTAAGGAGTAGACACAAAGAGGAAGGAAATCAAGTAGTGATTGCAAAATCACCTTTTATTTTTAAGGAGAAATACACTGCAACACAGTGTATTTGCTGAAACAGAGTCTCCCAAGGGGGAAAGGGGTAGATGGCTTACTTTCATCTATTTCATTACTAGGTTATCATTTATTAATGTATCTACTCTGGTGGAGGAAATGTAGCTTAATAGCATTACACAATTAAGACACCTCAGAAAGAGCTTAGCTTATTGTTAGAAGGATCGGAATCATTAGGAAGAAGCTGTTAGTAAATCTCTTTGTTTCACTGGTAGTTTATAAAAGCAATTTATCATGAATTTCTGTTGATCTTTACTAAAACACAAACTCAATATAGTGTGGTAATAGTCTAGAAATTGTTATATTGAATTATTTTAAAAAAATTACTTAGGG